CCAGTCTGGGCGACAGAGTGAGACTCCAACTCAAAAAAAAAAAGAAAAGAAAAAGAAAATCATAGAATCTATCTGATTGCAATATAGTATTGGGATATAGCATTAAATTCACATAAAGCCCTTAAAACAGGGCCTGATGCTATCGTGTTAGTAATAATACTTGTGAGATCGGTGAAGTTGAACAAGTAGGTTTGAGCCCCTGACTTGCTGTGTACCTAAGGATAAATGACTTAACCTGAGCCTCTGTTTTCCCATCTGTGAGGAGAGGTGAACCTTGCAGGACTGTTGGGGGTTCGATTAACTAACATACAGATTGATCCTTATCCTTCCCACCTGCTCTAAAGCACTGCCAGAGGGGAGGAAGGTGAAGAGAAGAATCAATTAAGCAAATTCTTAGGACCTTAGAAAGTTATCATGCCTGACAGGAGTACAGATTCTGGAGTCAGACAGAACTGAGTTCAGATCCCAGCTGTGTGGCTTTGGGACACTGACTTGTCTTCTCTGAGACTCAGATCTTTTCATAATGTGGAGATATAGCCTGTCTACTTCCCAAGGTAGTGGTGGGAATCCCGTAAGACCCGCTCGAAAAGTGCCAGGCACATGCTAACCGCTCAATGCGTGGGCGGGGTCGTCATTATTTACAGCCCAGGGAAAGTGTAGCCCAGAGAAGGTAAGGAACTACCCTGAGGTCGCACAGCAAAGCAGGCGCTGGTTGTAGGCCCTGGGAGGTGTGGAGAGGGAGTCTTGGGGGTCTTGTGGGGTGGGGCCCCCATCCTCTGATGGGCTCTTGTTCCTGCCAGGCATCCCCAAGCCCCTCGCCGAGCTGGAGCCTGAGCCGGAAATAGAGGGGCTGCTGGCCCCAGTGCTGGAGGCTGGCGATGCTGATGAGGGCGCGGTCGCTCGACCCCTCAGCCCCACGCGGCTGCAGCCAGCGCTGCCGCCCGAGGCGCAGTCGGTGCCCGAGCTGGAGGAGGTGGCCAGGGTGCTGGCGGAGATCCCTCGGCCCCTCAAGCGCAGGGGCTCCATGGAGCAGAGCCCCGCCATGGCCCTGCCCCCCACCCACAAGAAGCAGTACCAGCAGATCATCAGCCGCCTCTTCCATCGCCACGGCGGGCCGGGGCCCGGGGGGCCTGAACCAGACCTGGCCCCCATCACCGAGGGCTCTGAGGCCAGGGCAGGGCCGCCGGCTCCTGCTCCCCCGGCTCCCCTCCCGCCCCCAGCCCCGACCCAGAGCAGCCTGCCTGAGCAGCTGCAGAGTGTGGTAAGTAACAGGCGGACACTGGCGTGCGTTTGCTCGTGAATGGGCCCATGGGCTCCCACGGAGAGCCCCACATAGGGTGGCTCCAGTGAGGTAGAAGCTTTCCTCTCTTGAGTAGCCACCCAGGGGTAAGCAGTCCAGGGCTGGCAGGCAGCTCAAGGGAGTCGGGACACGGGCTGCGTTTGCCTGGGGCTCTGTTACGCGCAGGAGGTTAGGGGGGTCCTCGTGGTCCAAGGTGGCTTTCACGAAGTCAGCCTTCCAGCCGGGGGGGTGGGGGGAGGAGAGAAAGTGCCCCTTCCCTTTTTGGGCAGAACCTGAAAATTGCACGTAGCGCTCTGCCCCACCTCCACCAGGAACCCGGGTGCAAGGGCTTCTGAGAAATGTAGTCTTTGGGCATAGCTGTGTGTGAGAATGTGTGGAGTGGCCTTCCGGAGACCTGGCCACTCGGGGACTTTGTCTGCTCCTTCTATCCAATAACCTGCACCTGTGCCTATGCCCTGCCTGGGCATTCCCTCAGCAATCTCAGAGTACCACACCTGGAAATGACTGGGACCAGAATTATAGTGTTCACCCTCTCCCTTTCCCTGGAGACGAGGCAGTCTCTTGTGTCTGCTTCTTCTGGGCATTCACTCCTCTTATAAAAAGTGAGTCTCGTCAGACCCAGTGGCTCAAACCTGTAATCCCAGCACTTGGGGAGGCCAAGGCGAGAGAAGAACAGCCTGGGCAACTTGGTGAGGCCTCATCTCTACAATAAATAAAAATTAGCCAGGTGTGGTGGCACATGCCTATGGTTCCAGCTACCTGGAAGGCTAAGGCGGAAGGATCACCTGAACCCAGCAGGTTGAGGCTGTGGTGGCCGTGAGCTTGCCATTGCACTCCAGCATGTGCAACAGATTGAGACCCTGACCCAAAAAACCCCACTCATAACTGAATTATGAAATCACAAATTAGCACACTAATATTTTATAATACAGAATTTTTTTCAGAATTATATATATATGTTTTTGAATTGGAGTCTCACTCTGTCACCTAGGCTGGAGTGCAGAATTATATTTTGAATGAACACTTTCCACTGTAAAGGAATGCACAACACCAGAACAAACTTGGGGAAAATAAATAAAAATAGAATAAAGAAGACAAAAATCACAGCACTCCTGGGCAACAGAGTGAGACACCTACTCAAAAAAAAAAAAAAATTAAAATTCTCAAACAGAATCCTGGAATGCCAAAGCCATGGGACCTCAGAAAGTTGAAATAGCACAATTTAGCATTTCTGCAATCGACATGTTGGAAACTTGAAATAACCACATATAAGAACTTTAGATCAGTGGCTCTTGGGATTTCTGAATTCCAGAATCTTGAAATCACTAAAGTTCTGGAGACAGCAAAGGCCAGAATCACAAATGCTACATAGTCACACTTAGAATAAATTATCTTATAGGAAGAAAATTTTTAAACACACACACACACACACACACACACGGAATAATATAACTGCCCAAATCCTAGACCTCTAGAATTAACACCTAGTAACACTTTGTCATGTGTGCCTCATAGCATTTTTTTCTTTTTGAGTCAAGGTCTCTGTCACCCAGGCTGGAGTGCAGTGGCATGATCATGACAAGCATGCCTCACAGCAACCTCGACTTCCTGGGCTCAGGCAATCCTTCCACCTCAGCCTCCCGGAGTAGCTGGGACTACAGGTGCAGGCTACCATGCCTGGTTAATTTTTTTTTTTTTTTTTTTTGAGTTGGAGTTTCACTCTGTCGCCCAGGCTGAAGTGCAGTGGCATGCTCACAACCACCCCAGCATCGACCTGCTGGGTGCTGGGCTCCAGCGATCCTTCCACCTAAGCCTTCCAAGTAGCTGAAACTACAGGCGTGAGCTACCACACCCGGCTAATTATTTATTTTTATTGTAGAGATGAGGTCTCGCCAAGTTGCCTGGGCTGGTCTCAAACCCACGGCTCGGGCAATCCACTTGCCTTGGTGCTGGGATTACATGCTGAGCTACCGAGCCCGGCCGGTTTTTGTTTTGTTTTTTTTTTTAGAGACAAGATTGCACTATGTTGTCCAGGCTGGTCTTGAACTCCTGGGCTCAAGCCATCTGCCCGCTCGGCCTCCCAAAATGCACTTGGCCTCATTCATTTTTTTATAAAGTAAACGAGACTGTGTAGAAATTGGATAACTAGCTTCCACAGTCATTGCCTTGAAGGCCTAGAATTATTCTGCCACCAACTCCGCGGCCTCCCAGTTTTCGCTCTGACTTTGAGACCCAAGATTCCACAAGCACAGAATTCCCTGACTATGGTAGGGAACCAGGGCTCGGGGAGCCCTCCGGACTCGACTCTGGACCTTCCTGGGTGTGAATCCCGGCCCTCCCCAGTGTCCCTGGGCGACCCTTTCCCCTTCCGGGTAATGGGCATACTCACAATGCCAACAAGTCGCTGAAACCCCCGCCCCAGGAGATGCGCTCGGTGCTGCGGAAGGCGGGCTCCCCGCGCAAGGCCCGGCGCGCGCGCCTCAACCCGCTGGTGCTGCTGCTGGACGCGGCGCTGACCGGAGAGCTGGAGGTGGTGCAGCAGGCGGTGAAGGAGGTGAGGGTGCCGCGCGGGGGCGGGAGGACCGTGTGGGAGGATCACACGG